CATGCATTTATACCCTATCCTGTCAGTTCCGATCCTTTGAAACCATATTACGAAGTTGCGTGTGCCCGTATATTTAACGCGTTATTCAAATTGTGACAGAGGCTGATATGGATGTTTGGTGTTTGTGTGTATGTGTGCGTTTTCTGTGTTTCTGTGCAGGTAGGAAACTTGCGACGAGCTGATCGCCCGCCCAAGGAGTCCTACCGAATGTGTCTTAGCTGTAGTAATCCGAAGTGGAACGGAGAGTTTCATGGAGGTAGGCCAAGGCCCAAATTCGGGCTGTAGCGCCAAAAGAGAAAAAAAAATCTCAATTAACTATGCAACTACAGATTTCCTGCTCTGTACACGTTTGTTTCAGTTTGTTTTACTACAATTTTAAATATCTTTAAAACGAAGTCGTTATGGCGACCATACAGCCATCTTAGGTTGGAATTTTACCGTCAAGCCCTTCGAAGTAAAGCTAAAGGTGGCTCCGTGGTATAAGGCGTGTCCTGTCTTATACTTCTAGAACATTTGGTTCGTGGGTTCGAATCCCACTTGAGGGACGGATGTGTGCCTGTAATTTTGCTGTTTCTATTAACATGTGCAGATATGGCCTTGCGATGGGTCGATCCACTGTCCAAGGATTCCTACCAAATGCCTACAAACCAGATTCTGCAGCCCTGAAAGCGGAAAGCTTTGGACCACAGTGACTTGCAGTGCTACACAAGAAAAGGAAAGGTAATTTGAGGCAGCTAGATGGACGTAAGCAGTTAGCTTGACAGTCGGGTCTATTTATCCTTAAGAAGAAAGCACCCAGACGCCAGTGGAGGAAGCAACGTGGGCTCCACTTCCGGTCCGGGCATGATGGCGAAGATCAATAGTCTAGTTAAGTAGGTCTTCTCTATGAAAGCCGACTCTTCGAAGTTAGCCCGATTTTAATTACGTTCAGAATAAATCAACTTTCTTGGCTTCCTACAAAAATTACACTGTCATCAGCGTGACACTTAACAGTGAAAAGCATTAACTCGTGCAGGAGCGGAGTAAAGTAAAGTAAGTATATGTTGTTGTCTCGTCACCAAAATGCAGGGCAAAATCATGACATAAAGATAGGAAACAGATGTTTCGAAAATGTGGCACAGTTCAGATATTTGGGAACGATAACAGATCGAAACCTGGTTCAGGAAGAAATTAAGAGGCGATTGAACTCAGGTAATGCTTGCTACCATTTAGTCCAGAAACTTTTCTCTTTTCGTCTGTTGTCCAAAAACATAAAAATTAGAATATACAAAACTATAATTTTGCCTGTGATTCTGCATGGATGTGAAACTTGGTCTCTGACATTAAGGGAGGAACATAGACTTGAGGGTGATTCAGAACAGGGTGTTGAGGAGAATATTTGGACCTAAGAGAGATGAAGTGACAGGAGGTTGGAGAAAACTGCATAATGAGGAGCGTCATAACTTGTACTGTTCTCCAAGTATAATTAGAATGATCAAGTCAAGGAGGATGAGGTGGGCAGGTCATGTAGCACGAATGGGGGAGACGAGGAATGCGTATAGGATATTGGTGGGAAAGCCTGAAGGAAAGAGACCACAGGGAAGACGTAGGTGGGTGGACAATATTAAAATGGATCTTAGAGAGATAGGATGGGATTGTGTGGATTGTATAGATCTGGCTCAGGATAGGGACCAGTGGAGGGCTCTTGAGAACATGGTGATGAACCTTCGGGTTCCATAAAATACTGGGAAATTCTTGAGTAGCTGCAGAATTGGCGGCTCCTCCAGAAGGGCTCAGCTCCATGAGTAAGTAAGTAAGTAAGTAAATAAAAGTAAAGCTATGCCTGTAACAGGCCGTGAAGTCCCATAGGGTTGTGAGACGTTGAGGGTCCCACATTATCTAGACAATCGGTTCAAAGATGGCGGTAAGGTTGTCAGTCTTACGCGCCGGCCGCGCTTTACCCCCCAGGAAAATTATTTAATTAATTCCTGGTACTCATTTCTGTTAGAGGCTGACCAAACCCCAGGGCCTAGTGCGGCTGGAAGGATTAAGTCAATTGAAAAAAATCCAATGACCTCTTGTTATTAAAATACGAAATTCCACGACCGAAATGAAGGCCAGTAGGCAGACATTTATGCTACGCGTTTTCATTTTGTTATGCTTCAACACCAACTCCTATAGTCGTTAAAAACGACTTATCTTCCACAGCAATGACCAATAAATAAGCACGGCTCCCTACGAAAGGTTGCCAAACAGCTGACACTTTTGTGCCTCTCAATCTGAAAAATAGACTCAAATGAAAAGGAATGTTTTAATATGCGTCGATCTTTCAAAACACGTCCACGGATTTTGGCAAGATCCCTCGCAATAGAGGGCAGCAAAATGGATGATTCATATTCACGTCAACGTTATGAGTATGACAGACGAATCCGAGAGAAGGGATTTTGCAACCGGTATTGAGAAAAATGGGGGATGAGGGGGAAATGTAGGAACGACACGGAGAAATAAACTAGGGACGGAAAATTGCAGCCGTCGATATAAAGTTTACATATGAATACCATTAGAGCACAGATATAGGACTCGCATTAGGGAGGTTTGTAGATCGAACCCAACTAATTCCATGGAGCAATATCCTTCCTAAGAGGCGATCACAGTGGCCGTGTGGTCTGAGGCATGGACTGTCTTCGCCCGCTCGAACGCTGGGATCAAGAATTCGAATCCCATTCGAGGCATGGATGTCTGTGTGTGTTTATTGTTTGTAGGTAGTGGCCTTGCGACGGGTTGATCACTCGTCCAAGGTCCAACAAAAGGACTGCAGAGCCATAGGTAGATAGATAATATCCTTCTTAAGACACTAATGACTGCTCAGCAACAGGGGAAATTCTCCGCCTTTTAGGGAAGGCAAGATTCATTGCTGTAGCCACAGGAACCCGCAACTAGTCGCCACTAGATCCAAGAAGTATTAATGAGAGACTATTATGCTTTGCGTTTCACTTTCTAAGACTACGGGTTGGCTTACTAACATTTTTAGATGAAAGTCACGTTATGACTGCCTGTGAATCAGCCGGTCGGTCCAGGCATAGAGCCCCAGATTTAGCTTTATGTCAAAGCAGTTACGGTTTTGTCCCTGTGGGGCGCCCTCTGATGAGAGGACAAGCCTGTAAATTGTCATGGTCACGGTCAGCTATACATGCTAACTTTATTCAAAATTTTGCAAATATACATTACACACAGTTCGTCCCCTATCAAGTGCCACAGTCACTGTCAAAACCTATATGCATAATGTTTAGTCTTTTTAGTTTGAAACCGCTACCTTGTGAACTTTCCCAAACTGACGATCATTACCCGTTAAGAAAGCGTTGTCTTCCCATGGTTCCCGTTCTAACATTATAGAGGCTAACTTCTGAACTTCTTAGTCCCCTTCCTTACGAATCCCTTCCATATATCACTTCACAAATTCCTGTTAACCGCTGTGTTTGCTACTCATTTTACATTATCCAACCGGATTCTTTGCTTTGTTATCTTCTGCCATTAAATTGCAATGCTATCATGGCAGCTCATTTTCTTTCCTCTGCATAGTATCTATTTACTTCACCACTACAACACTTCATTTCCCATGAGCTTGCATAGCTTCCGCTTATTTCACTGGCACCCCACTTCATTTCACCTACTTGGCTGTAAACAGCTGCGAAACGAATTTCAGCTAACTACGAGAATAACGACATAACGTTTCTGACCAAGCGGGATCGTTCTAAAAAGAGCCCAAGAGATTCATCCGGCTCGGCTCTCTACGGGATTTCCCTGAGCTGACTGAAGTTGTAGGTTAGGTTAGGTTAGGTTGAAGAAAGCAGTCTTCTGGGATTTGGCACCGTGTATATGTGGTGTTAACTGACGTTTCGGAGGAACGTATCGCCTCCATCTTCAGGGTAGAAGAAAAAATATAAGAAATCTGCAAGCGAAGAGACCGTGAGAACCGGTAAAACCAGTCTGCTTTTACCGGTTCTCACGGTCTCTTCGCTTGCAGATTTCTTATATTTTTTCTTCTACCCTGAAGATGGAGGCGATACGTTCCTCCGAAACGTCAGTTAACACCACATATACACGGTGCCAAATCCCAGAAGACTGCTTTCTTCATAGTCACCGCCGTGAAAGCCTCAAATCTTACATAGGTTAGGTTGGCTTCCGTTTTGTTGGTGCAAGAGACAGCATCGCATTCATGTGAGCATGTAACAGTGTTCTGTAACGGTGAAATATCTCGTAAAAAATGCAAGATACAAATAATGAGCTTCACACATCATGTGTCCACCCTAAAATGAAGTACATTGTTTTCCAAAGAATTTTTGACGTAATGGATAATGAAGGAGCGACAACGTTAAGTGGTTCGCCCTGGATATAAATTAGATGCTTTCATCTGACTTTTCAAAGTAATTAGGAGAAAAACTAAAGCCACTGCGAGCTTCGACAAGAAAATCAGAAATGACGTAAAATGTTCCGAATATTCGTCGATTTGAACTGCGAAACTTTTTTTTATTGCTACTGGGTTGGGACTGAGTTCCTTGTACTGCGGCCACTTCTGGCCTATTGTACCAGCCCCAGATGATAGGTGAGGGTGATTGTGGAGCAATTGGTGGAATGAATATTGGCAGGGGAAACCGAAGTAAGCAGAGAAAACCTGCCTCAGCGCCACTTTGTCCACCACAAATTCCACTTGACCAGACCCGGGATCGAATCCGGGCCGGCGTGGTGGGAAGCCAGAGACTAACCGCTTGAGCTATGGCGAGGCAAACTGCGAATCTAACAACTATGAATCGGAAATAGAGCACAGGCTTCAGTACGAGTACTTTATGCCTCAGCATGCAACCAGCATAACTGTGGAAGTTCGTCTAAGAATACCAGTGCGAACGGTACCGAACTCTTTTGCATGTCACTTTCAAACAAAGTCGAAGTAATGAGTCAAGACATACACACTGAGAATGACTGCACTTATTGCAAGCAGTAAAGAGGAAACGATGTTAACTTACTCGACAAGAAGAGATCTTGCAGCGCCTGGGTGGCCTGACAAAGTAGAGACCACGTTTCAGACACTGTGAGACCAGCAGACCGCAGCTCCAAAACATCGGCCACGGTCACCGCCGCTCCAGCCCCGCCCACCATCCTGTCGGTACAAACAGATAAATTGAAGGAACCACACAAATACATATTCTTCTAAAAACTACGGAAGAGAAAAGTGTTTTCTACGATTTTATATCTGTGACCATAGATTTGATATCCATTTACTGCAGATACAAATACGAGTATACTACTGAACAATATAACCGAAATGAAGACATTAATATGCAGTCTCTTTCCTAGAATGCTTGAGATAAGTCACACACATTAATTCAATATAAAGAATTGGCCGCGCCATAGCTCAAGTGGTTAGTCGCTGGCTTCCCACCGCGGCAGCCCGGGTTCGATCTCGGGTCTGGTCAAGTGGGATTTGTGGTGGACAAAGTGGCGCTGCGGCGGGTTTTCTCCGAATACTTCAGTTTCCCTGCCAATCTTCATTCCACCAAATTCTCAATCATCATAATCACCCGGGGCAGGTACATTCAGTGGCCGCTGTGCCGAGTGGATCCAGTTGGACTCCGCCCCCCACTAAGCGAATTAAAAAAATATAAAGAATTATATACTCGTAAATTGTATGTAAAATGGTATTATAAATCTATTTCTGAAACAAAATTGTCCGGACAAAATTCTGCAAAACGTTTAGGGAAAGTAAAATATTCAAATGCATATTACCTCTTTGTATTTAAAATGACTCCAAATTCGTTCATATCAGACGTCTAATACATCTGCTCTCTGAGCAGATCTATAATTTGGATAATGACCAACCGCTCTATTATTAGTTTTTATTTCCCATAATACAGTGAGTTCAATAACCATACTTCAAGGATACTTGTACCCATGGTTCATTCTAAAAAATGTAAACCCTACATATCTGACGTTTTACATTTATTACGGAAAATGCTCATTAAGACTCAGCGCAGAATCAGAATATGCATATTATTGTAAACATGTTTAGGGGAAGTTCGGGCAATATCGGACGGCGGGTAGTACCGGATATCAAAGATATTGAAGAACCCTTACAGACAGACGGTCATATCTGCATGACCGGTTCTCTGTTGTCTGCAGCAAAGCTCGAGACAACTTTAATTTCTACGTTGTAGGTACTGATGGTTGTTGTAACAGAAGGTCCTTCTGTGAGCTTTGTGTCTTTCTTAAACACGTGAAAGTATGAAGAATGCCGTCTTCTGGGATATGACGCCGTGTAGATCTTGTGCGAACCGACGTTTCGGAGGAACATATCGCCTCCATCTTCAGGGTTCAAACAATATTTACACGGCGCCATATCCCAGATGACGGCATTCTTCATACAGACCGACGTAAAACCTCAAGTCTTACACGTGAAAGTATCTTTGGCAAACGATTTCATTGATTATGGTACGTAAACTTATTTCCAACCAATTTCTCATGCGGTAAGAACTTAAAACAATGCCGAAAATTAAATACAGTTAGCGAATGAGCTACAAGTTTATTTACACGGTCGTTCTTGAAATATCGGACAGTACGGTGTCAGGTGGTACCGGGCACATAAGTAATGTGTTTAAGGCCGACACTGTTCATATATCATTAAGTTAAAAATGCTGTATTGTTATTTATGTGTCCTAGACATTCAAATGAAGACAGAGGAGAAGAATAACACTGGAAGAAAAGTGTGGACGGAGGTTCGTGCGAAAGCTGCCGCTGGGCGAAGTTCGGAGTAGGGCGATGTCGATAAGGTAAGCTACGAAAGTGTTTTAGTTCCGAAAATTTCGTTCAATGACTCAGCCAGCGAGTTCGGTCTCTACTGGCTCAGCGGTATCTAGATGCTTCCCCCATCTACCAGAGGGGTTAGAGACTATTGTTGGGCGGGAAATGTCCTTAATAATTTGGCTCAGAGGCCTCCTTGAGGCATGAGGTTCCTTTACGTGCCGTAAAGCTACGACACGGGACCCACGGGTTAAAGCCTCTCCCGGAGGCGGAATTTTTCCGCCCTTAAAAATTCCACGACCTCCGCCGGGTTTAAACCCGAGTACCTTGAGTCATGAGGTGGGAACGTTACCCCTAGACTACGGAGGCCGCTTGATGAATGGTAAGTAAGACTCGGGGTTCACACTAGAGACCTGGACTCTCGGTTCATACGCTTAAAAAAAATATTAGGGGAAATTTGCGTTTGTTTTTGTGTAAAATTGAAGCTTGCACGTCACTTCAGCCAACAAACATGGACTGCATGAAAAGATTTTTATCGTGAATTCACGACGAGACACGAACATTTAAGTTTGAGGTATTATCTGGCAGCAAGTCTATACAGAGCTGTCGGCTTCAGTAAGCCATGAACAGATCTTCTTTTAACAGACTGAGCAAACTCGCTGAAAAGCATTCATTTTCTCCATCGCGAATTGTTAACCCGGACAAAACGGGTGAGTTCCTGCATCAATTGAAATATAGCAAAAAGCCTTGTCAGTGAGAGCGAAAAAGCAGGTGGGAACTGATCTCAGAAGAAATGGAGAGAGATGTCAGTGTCCCTCTGTGCATAAATTCTGCCAGTGATCAATGTATTCCTCCTCTTTGTGTTCCCAAGAGCGAGACTGCGCAACGAGACATAAAATAACGCTCTTGAGGGAAGTATATTTGCACGTTAACCGAATGGTGGGTCATCAGCGAAGCGTTCATAATGTAGCTAGAAGATCTTGTTAGAAGAGGCAACCCAGATACTGTATTGTTCACTGCTGACAGTCATGCAAGACACAAGAATTTAGAAATGATCCCTTTTGCTTCATCAAATCGTGTGTATCAGTCTGTTGCCCCATATTATTCATAATCGTAAACTTCTTAACCGTGTTCTTATGAAGTCCTTGAAAAATGCTTTCAGCGAAACCAGTGTCCGGTGGATGTCAAACTATTCCTACCTGAATATAGAAGTTAAGGATATCGCAGGTCTTGTAAACATTGCATTTAAAAAGACATGCTTAATGGAGCTTGCCAAGTCACGCCTCGCTTCGGTTGTATCCGTCCATTAAATAGTGGGATTTTGTATGGTCTAAAGCAGCGCCATGGCTCTAGCGTGGCTTCAAACCCGGGTCTGGTCAATTGGGGTTTGTGGTGAACAAAGTGGCGCTGCGGTAGGTTGTCTCCGAGAACTTCCGTTTCCCTGTCAATCTTCATTCCACCAAATTCTCCATCATCATAATCACCCGGGGCAGGTACAATAGGCCAATCAGTGGCCGACGTGCAGAGTCGACCCAGCTGGACTCCACTCCCCCCACTATGCGAATTAATTGTATGGTCTAGACTTCCTTTCATCCAAAGAGTTACATAATTCGGATGACGTATAGGCTGAAACTTCACATTATGATGCCATTCCCAATGCTGACTGTACCCTTGTCGCCCAGTCAGATTTCTTAGTCACCAGAGAACCGACCCACTCGCCATCTTTACAGCCTCCGACTGTACCACTGCATTCCCAGATGCTCCTATACATACGAAGAGAAACAGAATAATCCAGTTCGGATCAGCTAACCACAGTTTTGCCTGAGTCATGAAGACAGCAACCCACGGCAACTTGCATCAAGGAGCCATTAAAAGTGCAGCTGAACGCAGGCTGAGAGAAGCGAGATTCTCATATCAGGCCCCTTTAGAATCAAGGAGAAAAGCGACAAGAAACGACAGTCAAGGCTGAAAAGCAGAAAATAAGGACATAAATTCGAGGGAAAACATCTCTTTAAAAAGTCACAGAAGACTAAGAGACAGAAAATTATCAGTTCGTTTCTGAAGTGGATTCAAAGGAAAATGAAACCAGTGAGTGCATCATTTGTGGTGAATATTTTAATGAGGACTCGTTACAAACTTTTGTAACAAGCGGGGTAATGAAAACTAAGTCAACACAGAAGGAACATCTCTTCGTTACTAATGTTATATTTGTGAAAATTAAAAGTTGCATTTACTGCGGTAATATTTGAAAACATGTTGTATGCGGTCCTGCCCTATGGCACACGTTAGCATGCCGTGAAACTGGACTGTTCTGTCACATTGCTCTCTCACTCATAAAATAAACTGCCATATTACCTAAAGTTTTTATGTAAAATTACGACAGAGTTTCAGTAAATGGCTGACCGTTATTAACTCACCTTACGAAAAACAAACAACTAGCAGGAAAGCTTAGGTGTTGGCAGTATGCGAAATTAGCCAAACTGAACCCCCTTCCCCTATCACAATTCTTATTCTTGCCGGTGGAGTCTTATTCGAGCTTTATCATCCTTTGATCTAATGGCTTTCTAAGGGATGCAGTGAGGCAGTAAGAAGATTCCTTTCACATCAAATCAGTCCATCGTAAGACTTTGGTAGGAAAAGACATAACAGACATATACAGGAGGATTCGACACAGAAATCTGAATGTTTACGCCGCCTAACACCGTAAGCCTTCTGCAAACACAACACGAATGCAGATTACTGAAAGAAATATTCTTTGAAAGCAAACCTTCGAAAATAGGTACCAGCTGTCTTGGTGATACGTAAAGTTTATTAGTAGCTGAACAATACACGTCTCATAGACAAAATATTCCTAGCTAATTGTATTATTCCCACGAATATGAAGACTAAAGTTAACCTACAAAAATATTTATTTCTTAGTGACTTCCAATGTGATAACCATCCATTCCTATCTATGGCTCAACAGCACTTTGTTGGACCTTGACGGTTTTTTCAGTTTCTTGATTTTTTTACACAATCGGTAGGACTCCTTGGACGGGCGATTAGCCCGTCGCAAGTCACACAGGACAGGACAAACCCAGAATAAACGCACACAGACATCCATGCATAACTCAAATGGGATTCGAACCCACGATCCCAGTGTCTGAGCTGACGAAAACAGTTCGCGCTTTAGACCGCGCGGCCACTGCAATAAGCATAGGATGTAACATATCCCGTAGGTACATTTAGGTCTATATAAAATTCCAAACTGAAGTAATTGTGTGCATAAGTACAATCACGGCAAATATTCGACATATCTGACGAAATTACTGTGCACCTACATTAGTAAACCACTACTTGAAATTAAATTTACTGCAGTTCCAA